GGTTAGTGACAGCGTGAAAGACTACCCCCCCCCCCCCTTTAAAAAAAAAGAGTTTTTTTTTTCACCAAAAAGGGGTTGAAAGTTTGGGGGGGGGGGGGGTAGTCTTTCACGCTGTCACTAACCCTTTATCTGACTTTGCAAATGTTGACTTTGTGTGCTTGTGGTCTGTTTGTTCTGCCTCGGGGGGGGGGGGGCAGAAATACAGGGAAAGGAACAAAGCCAGGCTGTTGGGTCGGGGAAACGATTTTACTGGCAGCCGGAAACGAGAGATCCCGAGATGTGACCTTTAGAAGCCGTGAAATGAGACTAAAGGTTTTGTTCCTGAGCGTAAAACGCGCCACTTGGGATGTGCGGGGGGGGGGCACAGCCTTGACCTTACAGAAGTAACGCTAGGTGGAGCTAAACAAAACGAAATACAAGCAGAATAAACGATGATGTGCTTTGGTTTGGAGCCATGATATTTAGACTTTCATGACATCTATACACTGGCAATAGGGACAGTAGGTGGCGCTGAGAGATGGTGTTGGGATGATGGTAGGTTTAGCACAGCGTGAATCACTGAGACTGATCCGTTTGCACGAGGGACGAGGTGGAGCTCAGGCGTGATTCAGGTGTGTATTTACTCCTACCACAGACTCAAGGAGGGAATTAGTCAGTATGAGGCCATTATGTAATGTGGTGACCTCCATCTTGCATCGTAAATAGAGCATTAATTACTACAGTTATTTCCCAACTTGTTTGGCAGCAATGTGGGATTGAACCATCAGTCTGCTATTTAGTTTCCTTTTCTGTTTTTTTCTTACTATTCCAATTAGGTTGAGCGGCCTCTGTCATCGATTTAATCTGGGTTTGAGTGTCCCCAGCGGCCGAACGATGTTTTTATATGATCAGTGTAAACGGCTGTGTTTAAACAGCCTGGTTTCTGGGGGGGGGGATCCATGACTCTGGGGGGAGTATGGCTTAAGGTCGATCTGTGACTTATCTTTGTGTATTTGTAGTGTGGTTTAACTCAACTCCCAGGATCGCTTTAGGTCGGCACTGTCTGACAGTTGTTCTGGAGTTTTAGCAGATCGGTTCACCCAGCTAGCACTGTTAAGTGGACTGCACTGGTGCACAGTGAATCACTAGTGCCGAGTAACACATTTTAACTGATTTCTGATTGGGTGAAGGCTGCTGCCGGGCTGTCAGGTTAAGCTGTTGAACCTTTATTCAAAGACAAGGCACCCATCAAACCCCGGGGTGAGGTATTTTACGGTATGAGTTTTGTAGTGTCATTGTTACTGGGTTTACCCTGAGTGTGACGGCTTGTGCCAAAAGTACATAAAATTAGTTTTTTCCCCCAGATCTTTTTTGCAAATGAAATAAGGACACTCGGAACAGCGCACACAGCCGTGTCCTATATAAGTGTGGACTGGATTAGACCACCTAAAACTAAATTTTATTGTGTCACTTCTTTTCACAAACCTACTGTACTGCAAGGTCCGGAACACTTTTGGCGCCCAGGCCGGATTCACGTCTTCCTGACTGCCAGGCCCGTCTTAAGCAGGAAAACCGTCTGAGATAGGCGGCCAGAAGCAGTGTAGGTCTGCAGGACATCTGAGATAGGCGGCCAGAAGCAGTGTAGGTCTGCAGGACATCTGAGATAGGCGGCCAGAAGCAGTGTAGGTCTGCAGGAACTATTTCCAAAAGCAGGATCTCTTGCTTACCTGGACCCCTGCTGAAAAAACAGCGTAGAGCAGCATTTCTGGTTACCAGCATAACCAGTATAATGCATGTTGGTTATACCAGCGTATGATGTGTTTTGGTGCTGATCGACCAGCTTCATGTGCAGGAAGACCAGCACAGCCATGTTGGTCCACCAGCTACACCAGTACCAAACCAGCACAACATGTCTGATTTAAGGTACCCCAGTATAAATGGTATTTTATGCATAAAACACCATAGCAACATGTCCACAGATGGCAGTTGGACAGTTCTGAGTGTACGACTGATTTAATGAGCCATAAATAAGACTTAAGTGCTAATAAACAGTATATACAGTATCTCACAAAAGTGAGTGCACCCCTCACATTTTTATAAATATTTTATTATATCTTTTCATGGGACAATACTGAAGATATGACACTTTGATACAATGTAAAGTAGTCGGTCTACAGCTTGTTTAACAAAATAACTAAACACACAGCCATTAATGTCTAAACCGCTGGCAACAAAAGTGAGTACAGCCCTAAGCGAAAATGTCCAAATTGTGCCCAAAGTGTCAATATTTTGTTTGGCCACCATTATTTTCCAGCGCTGCCTTAACTCTCCTGGGCCAGGCTGCCACTGAAACCCTCAAGATCAACCAAAGATGTGAGGGCTGTTAGTTTTACTGTAACTAAAGCTCTCACTTCTGTTGATGAAGGGCGCAGCCATCTTGGATTCTGAGGTCGGGGTTGCAGAGGTTCCTCCGATTTTCCGATTCGGAATCCCAACTTTAGGGGGCATTCCAGTTGAAATTTCCGACTGGGAACTTCAGAGTTCAAATGGAAAGCAGCAATGCACTGGCCTGTGTTGGGCCCTGGTTGCCTGCTGACACACAGTTTGCTACTGTCATCAGTTGGACGCGGGGGTGGCCATGGGTCATCTGAGAGGGGAGACCCAGGCAGTAAAATCCCATGTGGTGGACAGTTACCATTCACAAAACCCCACTATTGGCCGGCTTGCATGGGAGGGCGGGCATCTCTCACGAATGAACCGTGGTCATTGGAGGACGCCTTCTGTGTGTGCTGAATGCACAGCCTTGACCTGCCCCATGGATGAGATGGCTGTGCTCTCAGGTGTGGTCATCAGGGCTTTCACTGTCTCTAACCCCGCCCATTTGTCTTGCAGAGCCACGCCCCCAGAGGGAGCTGAGCTCCGCCTCCTCACCTGCCACTCAGGAACTGATGACCCGGCTGGGATTCCTACTGGGAGAGGGCATCCCGGCCGCTGCTGGCTTACCCATGGAGGACAGGAATGAGAAAAAGGTATTTTGGACATGCCCCCCCTAGCCAACCTGCAGATGTTGCTGCTGCGGAATCAAGCACGAGAGAGAGAGAGAGAGAGAGAGAGAGAATTTCTGCACTGATAGGTAACACTTTGTTTCACTGTTTTGGGATCAGTCTCCAGTCTGTTCTTACACCAGGTTGCATGTTGAGTCTCAAGCTGGCTTCTGCAGGGGAACGTGCGGTTCTGTGTAGGCTGGACGTTCCGTCGTTGCCGGGTGCTCGTCGGTTCGCCTTGGCGCGGGGGCAGTTATGTCGTCTTTGTGTTCGGTTCTGCTGATTGGTGCCGAGAGGCCGGAGACTCCTTTATTAACGATGATATCAGCAAGGAGCCTCGGCAGAAGGTTGTGCTCAATGAGCCGTTTTCAGTAGATTTCAGAAGTTCTGCATGCGCATCCAGGCCTGCGTTCGGGCCGCTGAAGCTGAAGCTGAAGCTCGCGGCCTTCTCCCCTTCCTGGCTGATGGAGGCTCGGCTTCTGTTCCATTCCTAGCCGGATCGGATGTTAACGGTTGAAGTTGTCTGGAATGCTGTGGGGTTTAGTCCCAGATGGACGCCTGCTGTCAGCACCTCACCCCCTCCCGGAACAAGTAGCTTTCAAGGCCTGGATTTGTAACCGGACTCGGCCCCAACCCACAGGAGGGAGTTGCACTGTTGTAAAATTATCCAGCTAGATAAATGATTAAAGCATTGAAGGAGAGATTAGTTGTTTAATAATCTTTGGATAAGAGTCTCCTAGGCACGTTTTAATGTGCCGGACATGTGCTGCCTGTTTGCAGGTGACCGGTGGCTGATCTCAGATCAGGCTTATGGCGATTCTCAGTTTGTCTGATGTGCTTGTTGCTTGTGAGGCTACAGAGTGGAGAATCATGACTATAGTGTGTCTGTCCTCATGCCTGCAGTTACCTGCTGACAGCTGCCCCCTCGACCTTGTTCATCTAAAAAAAAAAAAAAAAAACACGGTGTTAGTTGCCAAAGAATGCTGCTAATGTTTTTGTTCTGGTTTGCGGAACATTGTGTTTTTTTTTTTTCTTTTTGTACTGGCTGGACTGAGTTATTTAAATTCCATCTTGGACTGGATTAGAGAAAATGTGTTTCAAGACTGAAAAGAATATTAAGTTGGCCTGGCCCAGACGATGCTTGCTGAGAGTCAGTGTTTCTTTATGGGGGAGACCTCGCATGCATTTGTCTCAGAACTGTGCAGGCCAGCTGCCTTCTGGGGCTTGCTCTGGTAGCACCCAGGTCCATTAGAGATGAGTGAGTGTTTTGTCTGCATGGCGCGGCCTGAGAGGATGTTAGTGGGTCAGGTCAGACCCTTATCATGTGGTCTGTGCCGCAGTCGCATAGGGAAACGTGGTCGCAAAACCTTAGGCCCAAGTCCTGAGAGGAACCCCCTGGGGAGCTCAAGGTACTTGGTTTCGTTTGTTCAGAAAGCTGGTACTAACATGGCTGCAAAGATTCAGTGCTGTCGCATGTGCACTAGGAACAAATTAGGGGCCACACCGTTCCCTTTGTAGCTGATTCGCAGACTACTCTATGTGTGCAGAACTGAGTCTCTCGTGATGTCATAGTGATGATATCATACGGAAAATGTCATGCTGATGATGTGATGTTGGTTCTGTCATAATGATGATGTCATGTTGGTTGCATCATAATGATGGTGTCATGGTGATGATGTCATACTAATGATTCCCACTTCCCCCGCCCCCCACACCAGTGTACTGCACCTAGCCAAGGAGTGAGTCCCTGCTCCACCCTGACCAGCAGCACGACCTCCCCCAGCACGGACAGCCCCTGTTCCACCATCAGCAGCCGTGCCAGCCGGCCGCCCCCCTGCGGGGCCGTCCCCAGCCCCAGCTCCACCCTGGAGAGCAAAGACAGCGGCATCATCGGTGAGCGCAGACCAAGATCAAAAACTAGGGACTGCTCTCTCCAACCACTGACACCTCTGGCTTTCTGTCAACATATACATCCCAGAATCCCCTGCTACTCAGGAATGTCAGCACCCTACTTCAGTATATGGGAGGACCACTAGCTTTCACAATAAAAGTCTCCCACTAAAGCTGGAACATTATTCGCTATGTTCTCAGTCTGTTCCCGGCTTTTATGCTCTTCAGCCTTTAACTCCTAGATCCTAGATTGTATACCAAGGATTAAGCCATTTCCTCTAGTGAATCTCTTCTGTTGAATTCAGTTTATTCTAGTACCAAGCAAAGATATAACAACAAAGTTAGCATGGCAGTTAATGACAGCCATTTTCATTGGCTGGGATATGTGTCCATCATATTGGCAGCCGGGCACCTTAGCAGGAATGCTTAGGTTATTGACTGGTGTGTAGAAGCATCCTTTCCAATGACAGTAAACAGGAAGTGACTTCAACTTCCTGTTGCGAGACCAAAAAGAGTGTAATTTTTAATGTGATAAATCACATGCTTGTCTCTTTTTTTATTTTTTATTATTTGATGCGGTTAATTTTTCTGAGGACTTGGTTCATTCTTGACAAAACTGGGCCAAACATGTGTTCCTTTACCTTTCTTCGCGGGTTTCTAAGTAGGGCACGGGTTTGTGTTCTACCCCTCACGCTTCAGCCAGGGCCCCTCCCGGGGGCTCACTCTGGTCCCGGCAGCAGCAGTTGAGCTGCGGTGGACCAGCTCAGGTCTGAGTCATGTTTCTGACACCCGGTTCGGTATCATAACAGCCGAATAATTAATGTCAGCTTTGAAGCCCTGTTCGCCGTTCCGTTATGTAAGGTGTTTTTAACTGTTTCCACACATAACCCACCCAGGTTGAGAGGGTCTCAGTTTACTGGATAAGATCAAGTGGGAGGGGGGAGGAATCCATTAGTCTGTCATAGAATCAGAGATATGACACTTTCTGGGTCTTTAAAAGACCCCGATACTGAGGTAACAGCATTGTGGCTGGGTGCTGGGAGGGCCTATCAAGAATGGACTGGAATTATTTACATCAAACGGTGTCCTAATGTGGCCAATTTAAAAACAACATATTGCTTGGAATGCTGGGTGTTTTATATTTGTGGGTAGGTTATAATAACCTGTTGCTGATTGATGTGGGTTATAAAAAAGGATGCTTTATGATGTGAATGGAGAAAACGTGATTTTCTGAGAATGTTGGGGGAAAACAACAGCTAAACAAAAATGGGATGTTTTATCCTTGATGTGTTTATTTCTGTAGATGTCCTGAGTCACTTTTTCTGTATTCAGTCCAGTCAGATGTAATTTTGCCCACGGCAATGAAATTCGTATTGTCTGTTAAGCTTGGTTTACTGACTAGTGGATTCCTCCGCTGATTGGATATAATCCTCCGCTGATTGGATGGAAGCCTCCTCTGATTGGATGGATGCCTTCTCTGATTGGATGAATGCCTCCTATTTTTGGTTGGTTGCCACTGAGCTCAATTTCTCCCTCAAGATTTTGATATTTTAGTGTTTTTTTTTTTTTTAAAGTTCTGGAAAGTTAATGGATTTTCTCTCATCTGAACAGACCCCTGTCCAAAACCACAGGGGAAAATGCCTGTTCGTCCTTCTCCCTCATCTCAGTCAGATCCTTTGGTCTTTTGTGCTTAACGTACAAGGGTCGTCACATGTACACCTGACTGCATTCCTGCTTTTACGAATGGCCTCTGAGTGACAGCGGCCTCTGAGTGACAGAGGTATCGCACCCTTTCCAGCCACCCCCACAGAGATGCTGCCGCTTGTCCATGAGCGCTACCCAGCTCAATCCGCTTCAGTTAATTATCCAGCTGCATTAATTGGATAATTACATGTGGCTTTAGATTACAGTGCCATTTAAGCGAAGCCGGCGCACGGTTACGGAGACCTGTGGGACCGCAGCAGTGACATGCCCCTCAGACAGTCGTGCATAACCCGAGTGAGTGTGACGCCGCTAGTGTGATGGCCGCCCGTCTCCCTGCCCCCGCAGCCACCGTGACCAGCTCCTCGGAGAATGAGGAGCGTGGAGGCTCTAGCCTGGAGTGGAGGAAGGAGGGCGGCTTAAGGGACAGCCGGCGACACGGACCCATGCGGGCAGTACGAGCCGATGCCTGCTCGCCTGTGGCGGAGGAGGAGCCAGCTGGCCCTGCCCCCGCCCCAGGCCCCGCCCCCCTGCTCATGGGGAGACCACTCCCACCGCCTCGACCCCTGCACACCACCGCCTCGTCGCTGGCGATGCAGCGGCCCAACTCTGTGGCAGGTGAGTGCCCCTCCCCGTATGTCCGCCGCCGCACCCTTACCCCTCCCCAGCACCCGAGTGTGGCTCTCCCCTAGAGTTCCAGACCTCGCCCCATCTCTGTAAACTCCCCCCACATGTGCTCTTCTCTGAAATACGAGGACTGCTCTCTGTCCTGGTGAAGCTGCCCCAACGCACCCATGCAGCCTAGCAACAGAGTAATGCAGCACTCTTGTGTCGTCACATCCTGGCGGCTGCGGCCGCTTCCCTCAGCGCCGGGGATCAGCTCAGCGCATCAAATGCGGGATGAATGTGCAACTAAACCGTGGAGGTGTGAGGTGTGATGGGGAGACATACATGTGCCCTGTAAATGCAGAGGGTTAGGCCTGTTTTACAGCAGCCAGGGCGGGGGGGGGAGAGAGAGAGAGAGAGGACGATCGACAGGCTGGCATTTTGAAATGTCACAGAGAAGAGGACGCTTTTTGTTGCTGTTTTTTTAATTGTTTGTAGCTTCACTTTTTATTTGTGCCATGGATAGATACTCTGGCAACACAAATATTATTTTGTCATAATGATAATCCCACTTAATTTTTTTTTAAAGGTTGTATGAGAAAGGGGTAGAGATCTGGTAAATTAATGGTGCTGGTGCCCACCCTCCAGGGCAGGGGCACAGCCCCGCCACAGCTGGCCGAGGTCAGCCAGGTCTAGGGGTCGAGTCCGCAGGGGGGCAGGCGGGCGGGCATTCCCTGGCACCCAGCTGGTGGTCCTCTCTCTGTCGGGGAGGGGGGGCAGTGGATTAGGGTTATGGTTAAGGTTAACATTCTGATGCGGTCGCAGTAGGCAGTGGGGTGGATGACCACTCAAAAAAACTCCACCCCCCTGGGTTAATATTTAGCCACAGAGCTGAGTGGACCCTAGATCAGCTGAAGACAGGATGCCTATGGAGGTGAACATGAGGTGTGCAGGTTCTTCCGGCAAAACTGGAGAACCTGCGATTAGCTGGTGTCCCTCTGTCATGTGGCCCCAAGACTGAGGGGCGAATCACCCCATTTCAGGCAGGAACCTCAGAACCAGGTGGCTTTATCCGGCAAATATATTACACAAGGCTCCATGTTCTACTCTACTCATCAAAGTTACGGTTGTGGCCTGTATGGAGACCCATAAATCTGTAGCCTTTCCATTTTTCGGTGTCGTCTTCCACTCTGTCCAGATTGCTCTCCTTGGCCTCTGCATGGGGTTTGCGGTCCGTACAGTCAAGAATTCTGCTGCCTGCTGTTGCCCCCCACTGGTAACAGGGGGTCCCTGCACCTGTCAGAGCCTCAGCATAAATCAGATTAGGAGGCAAAACCATTAAAATCTTACTAATGACTGTTGCTCGGTGTGGGAAATGGGCTTGTGTAACACATATGGCTTTGTGTGTGTGCATGCGTGACCCCCTGTGTATGGTGTGTGTGTGTGTGCGTGTGGGGCAGGAGGCATGTCTTCTGGGGCACTGATCTATGACCAGTGCATGTCAAATGCTGACCGTACTGTATCAATAACAACCCAGAAGCAAAACACAGCTAACCACACATCACTAACCTTGGGGATAACGAGTGGATCCTATATTGTTTTCAGGCTTGTCGCCCCCTACTGACAAACTGTAAGCCTTGCGGGATCATCGTGTATCTCTCTGTTCATTTCGCTTCGCCGATCCTCTGACTCGTCGGCACCCTCCCGGCCATGGTACCCCATGTTTTTATTTTATTTTGCTCATTCATCTGGGTTGTTATCTGCGTTTGCATCACCCACAGTTGCTACAGGAAGGCCTGAGCCTTTCAAGTCGTTCTTACAGTCATTTGTATTTGATATTTTCTCGGGTTTGAAGCAGACCTCTCCCTGTGACCGTCAGTGTTTGTACTGGGATCTTATACTGGGTCGTTCTACTTGCGCCTTTGCCACGCAGCTGCATGTATCCGCACAAGGTCATAAGCAGATAGCGTGGGTCTCGGTCTCCGTGGTTACGCTGTCTGCCAGCTGCTTGTGTTTTAATCGCACTTTCTGTGTGTCTCTTATCTGGGCTCGCCTTTGCAGTATCAGGGCCATCAGCCTGGTGGAAGGACACTGTTCTTTAGCTCAATTTTCTATGGACATCTTCAGCCCAGGCTCACATAGGTCTAAATCAAATGTCGGGAGAACAACAAACGCTAAAGCTCCCTCCCAGCAGGACCGGCGCAGGGTCTGGCTCCGCCCACCTGTGCAACCCCCCCCCCCCCCCCTGAAGGCCGCGACACCCCAGGGGTCCACTGCAACCCCCCCGCTGCAGCCATACACCATCCTGTGCATGGGTGCAGTGTGTGTTTGTGCACATGTGTGTATGTGTGGGTGTGGGTGTGCGTGTATGTGAGTTTGCAATGCGTCGAGGTGTCTTTCTCCATGTGTGGTACATGCTGTTGTTTGCTCTCTGTGCATCTCTGAAATGCACAGAGTCTAATATGCAGAGTCTGTGCATTTTATATTATGTGTGTTTTGATAACTTCTATGTGTATCTATCTGTGTTTGATATCCTCTATGTGTATCTCTCTGTGTTTGATATCCCTTTGTGTATCTCTCTGTGTTTGATATCCTCTATGTGTATCTCTCTGTGTTTGATATCCTCTGTGTGTATCTCTCTGTTTGATATCCTCCGTG